GGCAGGAAGTTCGAACCTGGGAATGATCTGCTGGATGAGGATGGAGGTGACAGTGTTAGCAATCTCCCTGGATGTAGGGGAGGCTTCTATCCAACCTGAAAAAGTATCAACCAAAGTAAGTAGGTAGCAAAGCCTTCTTGTGCCTAGGCACATGAGTGAAGTTGATCTACCAGTCTTTGCCTGGGTGGTGGCTCCTCATCTGAGGTGTGGGGAGTTTAGGTTTGATGCTTCCTTGTGGAGATACTGTAGAGCAGACAGAATAAGTAGAGTGGACCTGCTGGAGAGTAGTTCTCATTCCTAGGAAGTGAAAGAGGGGTTGTGAAAACTGGAAAAAGGGGTTAGAGAGGGTTTTAGATGGGCACAGAGTCTCTGGAGCCAGAGGAGTTGGCCAAGAGTCGTAGGTCTCTGTCTTGGGCATCAGGGGCTGGTAGTGATTGACTGGTGAATTTGTGTATCTGATCTTGAAGGAACTTCTGTAGGCAATTTAATAGTCATGGTCCTATTAGGAGAAACGTAAAGAGGACTAATAGGGGTCCTGTGAGGGGGAGGAGCCAAGGCCATACTTGACTGAACATTCCCCATGGAGCCTGTTGGCCTAGTTGCTGTCTCCTCTTTTCTAGCTGTCCTTGTCCTTCATTACTCCTAGGAATGACTGTGTTTTTGGCTTAACTGTTTTTGGTAGGTGTTTAAGATCAAGCTGGTAAAAATTGACTTTGTTTCTATCTATCGTTAAGAGTCAGCCGTAGGGGAACTTGAGAGCAGCTTCCTAGTTCTGCTAGTGTCATTTGCGCTAGGATGGGTTCAGGTCTTGCTTGACCATGTGGCTTCCCTTGGAATCATCAGGGATGTCTCCTGTCTCCAATGACCCTCCTATTCACAGCAAATGCAGTGATTGGCTTTTCATTCTCCAGTGGTCTCATTAATCTCCCTGATCAGGAGGTTATGTGGCCCAGAGTTGCAAAGCTCTTTAGAGAAGTTCCCTGTTCCCTGGATTTCAGAATGATTCAGAGGGCAAGAGCCAAATATCGGTTTTCTTGGCCATTTTAACTTAACTTGTTAAGTCTTGATCTTAAACATCCAGCAAAGTCAGTTTCAGTTTAAATTAAGAGTAATGGGCTTTAGCTGAAGTCTGGCCTACTTTGGAGTCATTCTGACATGTAATAAGATGGGAGGCAGACCCTTATCTCTGGTAAGGTGGGGCTCTTTATAAATCTTAGGTAAAGTGTTCTAGTATTGAACTGATCTTTGTTTTTTAAATATCGTTTTATAAAGTTTACATATATTGTTGCTTGATGTCACATGAATACTCGCTAACACAATATGATTACATTTAAATTGTACCCCAGTTTATAGAACTTTATATTAATCTTATTGATGACAGGTCCAGTTATAGAACATTAAATGATATAAATAAATCTCCAATATGTTATTTTTATAAGCCTAAAATTACCATGCAACCTTTTGGAGAACATCAGCTTGATATAATTTTTTTTAAAGTTTCTATCTTAATGACTTATATACCTGGAAAATATGAACACATTTAATATACAAAGAAGAGTGATAGTACCACAATTCCTATTGATGTTTTATATTAATCAAGTTTAGCTCTTAAAGAAATAACATATTACAATATTGTAAAATAACAGTTGTTGTTTAACCATAGTTGTATAATGCTTAATTCCTTCAAGATTACTTGCTCAAAAAACTTACATATATAATCAACTTACACAGACCTTCTTTATCACTTGCTTAAACCCTCTTATTTACTTAATCACATAGACTCTCTTATCCAGAAACACATTTTCCTTCTCTTAAATCCATACCTAGAACCTTCTAATTTCTCTTTCCCATCTGTTAACTCCTTCTTTATTCACATTTTGAAACAATACTTGTAAATTTCTGAATTTAGGCAAATTATTCCATTTTAATGAGATATTTTGTTATTTGCAGTACACAATTAATCACATCTGTTTACCATTTCATGAAAACATAAACAATGTTTAAGTGTATAGAATTATACTGTTGAAGGGGTACACAAGGTAAGGCACCTAAGATAGCACCAAAGATAGGGAAACAGTCTTATTTTGTTGCAGCCAGATTCGGAGGGCATGGCTTATGTTGTAATCAATTAATCCATTGAACCCCAAGTTTAGGTAGTTTCAGAATTTTGCACCCAGCATGTGAGGGGAGGGGCTCAGAAGTTCACAATCTGCCAGAAGAAGTTCACAAAAAAGCAGTTTTTTTTTCCCCTCTGTTCTGGGCAAGTTAACCCTTCAAAGACACCTGGGAGGGGGAGAGCTTTTGCTTCCCTTTCTCTCCTCCCCTTGCCAGCTGTTCCCATGGAGCCCAGTTGGTAACTTCCTTATCTTAGAAATGTAGCCATCTCTGTGAAGCCCCAGCTCAAGGCCAGAGGCCTTGTTTACATATTTTGTGAAAAACTAGTAAGGGGGTGTCTAGCTTTTGGAGTGCTGATTTTTCCCAGCCAGTGTCCAAGTAAAACAGGGCAACCCGAAAAGAGGAAGTTTATCTACATTAAACTTTTTTGTAGGGACTCTTTTGCTGACAGTCCTAAAATCAGCCATGGTGAAGATTCTGGAGAAGGTCAGTTAAGACTTTTCTGTGGGCCGGGTAGGGAGGGGGAAGACCGGAAGGTGGGGCTGAGAGCAGTTCTGGTGGATCTGACAATGAAGAAGGAGATATGAAAGAATAATGGGAAAGGGGTTTGGGATTTTCCTAGCAAGGAAAACTTGAGCAGTAGAACAGGTAGAGCAGAGGGGAAGATGGGAGTGAGTATCCCAAAAAGCCTGTAAGGGACAATTGTTAGTAACCTGTTTTCAGTGATGACAAAGCAACTTTAAAGGCCATTTTCACCAGATCTTGGATAGGGGTCTGAGGGCTCTCCTCAGCTCGTTTGAGCTTTGGGTTAGCTGGTAAGAGGACCTGGTGGGACCTGGTGTGGGTACTGACAGGAGAAGAGAGGAGTGAGTGGGTGAAGGGATTCCTTCAGTACCTGCTACCTGAGCAAGGGGGTTTGATCTAGTAATTGGAGGGGAGAGATCAGGTTGTTCAGGTGGGGGTGACGGCGGAGGGGCTGGGGCAGAAGATTGAGGGTGAGGACCTTCTTTGAGCCGGGTGATAGAGTGGAGGTTCCTCAGCAAGGTCAAAAGAAGTGGATGAGTCCGGAGGAGGAGAGAGTTGGGGATCGGTGGTTAGGGGAGTTGGTTTGCAAGCTAGAAAAATTTGCAGAGGTCTGCAAGAGGTGCAGAGAGCACAAGCAAGAAGAAAGCTTTGATATAGCAGCTTTTTACCCATTTTTTCGAGTGCTCACAGTAATTGTAGAGATCCCTTAGAATGGAGGGATCCAGGAACCCATCTGCTTTGGTTGTCTAAGGGATAAGTGGGCCAGGCCTGGGTGCTATATTTGATCAATTTTTTGGGTTTGATGTCTGGTGTCAAGGAGAGGGTTTTGAGGTTATCCAAGAGGCATTGTAGGGGAGAGTCGACCGGCAGAGAGGACACATTACCCATGTCGCAAAGGTAGTATAAGGAGGAGGGAAGAGGATGCAAACATAGTATAGGGGAGAGGGAAAGAGATGCAAAGATAGTATAAGAGAGAAGGAGGAAACTGATTTATTGGCAAAAGGGGCGTCCCCGCTAGAGCCAAAAATCAGGAGTGCCTTAGTGGCAGGTTCGAGCTGCAGAGATTGGTCGTCAAATATACCTACAATTTAGAAGGGGATGTTTTATATATGTGTACATCATGGAATGGGTAAAGAGAACTAATTACTAGATGCATTACTTTACATACGTGTGTGTGTGTGTGTGTGTGGTGTGTGTGTGTGTGTGTGAGAGTGTATGTGATAATAACACTTAAAATTGAACCCCATGGGCTGGGGTTGTGGTTCAGTGGTAGAGCGCTTGTCTAGCATGTGTGAGGCCCTGGGTTTGATCCACAGCACCACATAAAGATAAATAAATAAAGATATTGTGTCCAACTTAAAAAAAAAAAAATTGAACCCAGAGTTACTTTGCAGAGCAGAATGCATTGTTATTAACAGTGGTCACCATGTTGGACAAGGATCTCTTGAGTTCATGCCTCCTATACATCTGAAATTTGGAATCCTTTTATTGACATCTCCCCTCCCTTCTCTCCTTTTCCCGTATCTTTATTTGCAGAATGTTTTTTCTTATAGATAAAAGAACTTTGGTCTTCTTAAAAAAATCAATCTCCCTCCCTCCCTCCCTCCCTCCCTACCTCCCTCCTTCCTTCCTTCCTTCCTTCCTTCTTACCTTTCTTTCTTTCTTTCCATCAGGGATTGTAATCAGGGAAATCAACCACTGAGCCGCACCCTCAGCCCTATTTTGTATTTTATTTAGAAACAGGGTCTCACTGAGTTGTTTAGTGCCTCGCTTTTGCGGAGGCTGGCTTTGAACTCATGATCTTCCTATCTTAGCCTCCCAGTCACTGGGATTACAGGTGTGTGCCACCACCTGTACTTTACTCTGTCTTTGAATAGGTGTATTTACATAATTCCCATTTAAATTGAATCATTGACATAATCAAATTGTCATATTGACAACTTTAATATTTTTGTTGTCCTTTTTTTAAAAAGCTTTTCTTTCACTGTCTTCTCATTTTTTTGATGGGGGGTACTAGAGATTGAACTCAGAGGCACTCAACCAGTGAGCCACATCCCCAGCCCTGTTTGTATTTTATTTAGAGACAGGGTCTCACTGAGTTGCTTAGCGCCTTGCCATTGCTGAGGCTGGCTTTGAACCTATGATCCCTCCTGTCTCAGCCTCCCGAATCGCTGGGATTATAGGTGTGTGCCACCATGCCCAGCTCTGCCCTCTCATTTCAATTGAGTTTTTTATATGACTCCATTTTTTAAAGAAATATTTTTAGTTGTAGATGGACATAATACCTTTATTTTATTTATTTTAATGTAGTGCTGAGGTTCGAAACCAGTGCCTCGCATGTGCTAGGTAAGTGCTCTACCACTAGCTATAACCCCAGCCCCCTATATGATCCATTTTCTTTGTTGTATTAGCATATTATTATATGTCATCTAAAATTTTCAAGGAGTTTCCCTAGAATTTGAAATATGCCTTTACAATTAATCTAAATCCACTTTCAAATAACACTCCACTGTTTCATGACACATGAGTATGGTCCCAATTCCTCCTTCCTGTCCCATATAATCAATTACTGCCATTCACCTGATATCTCAGTACCTATAACCACCCAGTACACTGTCAATATTATCATTCTGCACAAGTATCCATCTATTATAATGATCAGATAAGAATAAGGAAAGTAGATATTTTGTGGTACCCCATTTTTCTTTTTTCTAACATTCTTTTCTTTAGGTGATCCCAGTTCATAACTTGTACCATTTTCCTTTTCAGTGAAGAATTTTAAACAATTCCTGCAAGACACAATTAATTTCATACTTATTTTTCTCTTTCTCAGCTGCATAATTTCCACTGACTTGTCTTCATCTTAGCCGATTCATTTTTCTGCTTACATAAATCTGCTTTTGTACACCGCTGCAGTCTGTGTATGATTTTGAGTGTGTCCCAAGTGTTCGTTTGTTGGGAACCTGGGCTCCAGTGAGGAGACACTAGGGGTGATTCAAGCTGCATGTTATGCATATACTCACTGACCAGAGGCCTATTCTTCCTATTTGGGTGAGACTGTACTGCATAGTTCAGTCTTAGTCGAGTTGGGGGAGAATGCATGCACAGACACAGAGGAAGAGTCTGGTTAAGAAGTCAGAGAATGGGTGAGTGGAGTCTGATGCAGCCTGTAACTGTCTTATGAACTGAGCACGGATCACCACTCTGTGAGCCTCGTCCTTCCTTTTGGAAACATGTGGGATGTTTCAGGACCCACTGACCTTTGAGGATGTGGCTGTGAACTTCACCCAGGAGGAGTGGGCTTTGCTGAAGTCTTCCCAGAAGAAACTCTACAGAGATGTGATGCAGGAAACCCTCAAGAACTGGTCCTTTGTAGGTAAAAATTTTTTTAATTTGAAGATGAGTGTCTTGATCATGGATGCTGTCCAGTGATTTAAAATATGGTAAGAGTAGATGAACTCTAGATAGGGCAAAGGGAAGGGGGGGAGGAAAGGTGGTGGAATGAGATGGACATCATTACCCTAAGTACATGTATGAAGACATGAATGCTGTGACTCTACTTTGTGTACAACCAGAGATATGAAAAATTGTGGTCTATATGTGTAATATGAATTGTAGTGCATTCTGCTGTCACATATAACAAATTAAAAAAAAAAAAAGATGAGGCTGGGGTTGTGGCTCAGTGGTAGAGCACTCACCTAGCACGGATGATGCAATGGGTTTGATCCTCAGCACCACATATAAATAAATAAATAAAGATATTGTGTCCACCTACAACTGAAAAAAAAATGAAAATAAAATAAAATGTGGTAAGATTACATTGTGGTGAATCAGTCAAGCATGGCTGGGGTATACCATGAGCACAATAATAACAATCAATTTATAATCTTGCAATCACCCATAATTACTTGTCTGGATGTATGTTTCAGGGAAAACATGGGAACATCAGAACATGGAAGATCAGTACAAAAATCCAAAGAGAAATCTAAGGTAATATATACTTGATAGCAGGGTCTCTGAAGAGGATCTTAGATTGTCAGAAAATCTTAAAAAACAAGTGAAGGGGCTTGGGATGTGACTCAAGTGGTAGCGTGCTTATCTGGCATGCGTGAGGCACTGAGTTGGATCCTCAGCACCACATAAAAATAAATTAAAGACATTGTGTCCATCTAAAACTAAAAAATAAATATTAAAAAAAAAAACAAGTGAAGGAAAAAATTAAGAGCCTAATTTCAAGTTTACTTAGAAATTTTCCTCTAAAAATATATATTCACATGTAATATACATTCTTACGGTTTGCAAAATAAGTCACCTTGGAACAGTATTAGAATGCTTCATACAAATATTGCTGTTTTGGGGCTGGGGATGTGGCTCAAGCGGTAGCGCGCTCGCCTGGCATGTGTGCGGCCCAGTTTCGATCCTCAGCACCACATACAAACAAAGATGTTGTGTCCGCCGAAACTAAAAAATAAATATTAAAAAAAAATTCTCTCTTTCTCTCTCTCTCTCTCTGTCTCTCACTCTTTCTTTAAAAAAAAAAACAAATATTGCTGTTTTGATAATAATTCTGATCTAGCTGTGTTACAGAGCATTGAGTTCAAGTTTGAAAAATTTGAGCTGGATATAAAGCCTACACTTTCCTTTTAAATTTTACAGTATACATTGAATATGTTAATAGATGTAAAACTGTGTATAAGCAAACCCTTAATGATGTGATTCTCATATTTTATAGAAGTCAAGTGGCAGAGAGATTCCGTGAGCATAAAGAAGGAAAAACCTTCAGCCAGATTCCAGATCATATTGTGGCCAAGAAAACTCCTAGACCCAAAGCAAGTGGAAGCCACGTGGCTGGAGGAGTGGCCATTGGTCATTCATCATTTAAGAGGTCTAGACGCAGACCGTTTGAGTATCAGGAATACAGAGACAAACCCTATGAATGCCAAGGGTGTGATAAGGCCTTTAGGCTGCCCAGTTACCTTCGAAAACATGAAAGGATACACACTAGAGAGAAACCCTACCAACATGAGCAGTGTGGGAGAAAGTTCACTCATCCCCATCACGCTGAAAGACACACAGGTGGCAAAGGATTTCCTTATCCCAGTTTCCTTCGAAATCATAAAGCAAGTCACATGAGAGAGGAAACACATGAACGCCAGCAGTGTGGGAAAAACTTACTGAATTCCAGTTCCCTTCACATACATAAAAGGATTCGCAGTGGACAGAAGCCCTATAAATGTAAGCTATGTGATAAGACCTTCCGACATCCCAGTCACCTTCGAATACACGAACGAACTCACACTGGAGAGAAACCCTACGAATGTAAGAAGTGTGGCAGAACGTTCACTTATTCCCACTCAGTTCGAAGGCACATGGCAACTCACAGCGGAGAGTGGAATTACAAATGCAAGGTGTGCGATCAAGGTTTTTTTTATCCTAGTTCTCTTCGAATCCATGAACTCACTCACAATGGAGAGCAACCTTATGAATGTAAAGAGTGTGGTAAGACCTTTAAATACGCTGCTTCCTTTCGAAACCATGAAACCACTCACACAGGGAAGAAGCCGTATAAATGTAAGCAGTGTGGGAAAGCCTTCAGTTGTCTTACTTACTTTCGAAGTCACATGAGAACACACGGCGAGCAGAAGAAGCCTTATGACTGTCAGGAATGTGGGAAAACATTTGTCTGTTTCGACAGCGTTCGAAAACACATGCTCTTACACAGAACAGTGGAGATGGACGGACTTAACAAATGTAAGCAATGTGGGCTAGCCTTCAGGCGTTCCAGCTCCTTGTATAAACATGAAAGGACTCACAGTGGAGAATAGCCTTATGATTGTGACATGCTTATGTATTCAGTCATTTCGGTTAGAAGTACATGAAAAAAAATCAATATGGTACTACCCAAGCATTAAAGACTTTTACTGGGACAAATTCTGTATATAGAATGTGGGACATTTTTTTCACACAACCCTACTGGCCCATGTGAGAAGACCAGAGAAAGAAAGCCTACAATATTATCAGCCTGGGAAAGCTTCTCTCTCATTCTCCAAGTTGAACTTGAAGTGATGGAAGAACACATTTAAACAATTTAAACAAATGTGGAAAAATCATCCATTGGCCCGCAACTTACAACATGTAAAAAATGCACACCTCATCCAAACCCTGTAAATGTGAGAAATATTTGAAAATTTTTTCAGTGTTAATAAACACTGTCTAGTGAAAACTCCCCATGTGAAATAATTCTATAAGTCTAAGAAATATGAAATGCCTGATGCAAATTATTATACATGTAATGCTCTCCAGAAACCACAGTTGGAAAGAAACTTAACAGGGGCTTGGGTTGTGGCTCAGTGGTAGGGTGATCACATAGCACGTGCGAGGTCCTGGGTTCGGTCCTCAGCACCATATTAAAATAAAGGTATTGTATCCAACTACAACAAAAATAAATAAATATTTTTTAAAAAAGAAATTCATTTTTTTTTAAAAAAAGAAACTTAACAAAAATTACGTTGTCTTTCTCAGTGGCTAATTCTTTTTTTTAAATATTTTTAGTTGTCAATGGACCTTTATTTTACTTATTTACATGTGGTGCTAAGAATCGAACCCAGTTCCTCGTGCATGCTAGGCCAGCACTCTACCACTAAGCTACTGTTGTAGGGACAGATGAGGCAAGGCACCGAAGATAGCAGGAAACAGTTTTATTTGGCTGCAGCCAGGTTCAGAGGGCACAGCTTTTGCTGTAATCAATCCCTTGAACCCCGAGTTCAGGGAGTTTCAGAGTTTTATACCCAGTATGTAAGGGGAGGGGCTCAGAAGTTCACAGAAAAGCAGCTTTTTCTTTCACTGTTCTGGGCAAGTTAACTCTTCAAGGACCACACCTGAGAAGGGGAGAGCCTCTTTTCCCCTTTCTTCCCTCCCCCTGCCAGCTGTTACCATGGAGCCCATTTGTAACTTATCTTAAAAATGTAGACATCTCGGGGCTGGGGATGTGGCTCAAGTGGTAGCGTGCTTGCCTGGCATGCGTGCGGTCCAGGTTTGATCCTCAGCACCACATACAAACAAAGATGTTGTGTCCACCGAAAAACTAATAAATAAATATTAAAAAAAAAATGTAGACATCTCTGTGAAGCCCAGCTCAAGGCCAGAGGCCTTGTTTGCACATTTCTACAAAGTACTATACTGGATATGTTTGTGAAAAACTAGTAAGGGGGTGTCCAGCACCTGGAGTGCTGGTATCTTCCCTGCCAGCGGCCAAGTAAACAGGGCGACAGGAAAATAGGAAGTTTATCTCCATTGGACTCTTTCACAGAGACTCTTTTGCTGACAGTCCTAAAATCAGCCATGGTGAAGAGCGCTTTTCTGTGGAGAAAGGGGGTGCCACTTCACTACAACCCCAGCCCTTGAAGTGGATCTCTGTGTTATGGAAAGTGTTAATAGAATGGCAAAACTGTTGCCAGGGTGGCTCTTTCTACCTGTTTTATGTGCATGTCAGTACTTTGTCATGTCACTCATGCTGAGTCATGCTTGTGTTGTGGGATGGGATACAATAATGGCTTAAAAAATTAAACATTTTTTAAAAATAAAAAATTAAAATTAGGGCTGGGATTGTGGCTCAGCAGTAAAGCACTCGCCTAGCATGTGTGAGGCCCCGGGTTCGATCCTCAGCACCACATAAAAATAAATAAATAAAATAAAGGCATTGTGTCCAACTACAACTTGAAATAAAAATTAAAATTAAACATACCCATTTTTCAGACTCATGATAGTAAACATATTTCTGGTTCTTCTTAGCCATTTTTAAGATTCCACTGGATTCTGACACTAATTGACTCCACAGGTTTAACGGCTGAGTCCCCCAAGACAACCCTTATGTCAGATGCAAGTGAAAAATTGGGGATTCAAAAGTACCCACATTTGTGCCAAGATTGGCTATGGTGTCAAGTTCCCACACTCTCCCCGTTCCTTCATGATTGCTAATTTGCTAAAAGGACTCACAGGGTTCAGGAAAGTTCTTAGTATTACTAATGTAAGGGTCCCGCGAAACGTCGGAGAAAGAGACCACCAAGTGACCACTCATGCAATTGGCAGAAGGGGATTTATTGAACCAGCATGCTGGGGCTCCGTGCCCACTCAAGAAAGGAAAGCAGTCCAGAGCCCCGAGCAGGGGCTGAGCACTGCTTAAGTACACTTTTTGGGGAGGGCGGAGGGCTTTGTGTACATCAGAACAAATCATCATGAGGCGCGTAAAATTGAACAACAACTCCTAAACATGATTAGTTCATTCATTGGCGGGAACAGGTCAGGCTGGAGTGATAGGTCATTTCTAAACAGGGTACACATTTAAACTGATTGGTTTTAGGGCCTAAAGGACTACGTGACCAGTTACACAGAGTCCTGAATTATTAAACAACCAAACAGCCAGGGGAAATGTTTACTGGGCGGTTCTAAGCATTGTCTTAACAGCTACAGAAATTTCAGGTTTTGCAGATAACATAGAAACCTAACAATACCTCCTTTACATTTTAACTCAGACCTTGCAGCTTAGAAACTTTTACAACACCCGGTCTTTTACCTTTAACTTTTACGCTTTAACTTCAATTTCTTTTACCCTTACACTAGTTTATGATAAAGGATACAACCCAGGAAGAGCCAGATAGAAGAGATGTAGGGCAAGCTATGGGGTTAGGGGATTAGGAACCTTCCAGGTCCCACCTGGAGGTCCCAAACTTCCAGCACCTCTGTGTGTCCACCAACCCAGAAGTTCACACACCACATTTAGGGGCTCTCGTGTAGGTTTCTGGTATTTTTACATGATGGATTAGTTCATTAGCCCTTGCGGATTCACTCATGACTCATCTCTTTTTCCTTCCTGAGGTCTCACGGGTGTGGTTCAATATTTCAACGCTCCCATCAATTATAAATCAGAATAATTAAAAATTTGTCTACCCTTTAAGCATGCCTTGGTCTTTCTGGTGCCCTGACCATTCACCATCCTGAAGCTACTTAGGGGTCCCCAAATATCTCACTAGAATTTAGAAGACAATTTATCATTCCAGAGATATTAAAGTAACAGAAGCTCTTGGGTTACAATCTCTGGACTAATCCATGACCCGTAACATCTGATGTGTGACTTCGATGAGCAGGTGATATGACAGGTTACAGAGAAGAGCAGTGAAGAAGATGTCCTTGGTACTCATCCAAAATATCACCACTTATCCCCTTAGACATTTCAAAAAGATAATTCAAATCAGAGGATGTGTCTGAGGGATAGTCAACCTGGGGCCATTTTGTCACAAAGTCCCTGGTGACGACCATCAGCTTGGAATGTTAGGGACTGCAGAAGCAGTGGAAAAAAGAGTTCACATTTGATCACTTATGTGAACTGGTATAGAAAGTAACTAATTTGCTGAAATATTTGCATTCTCGATGCAATGATTATTTGCAAATTTTTATTTTTTTTGTTTTAAATATTTTTTTAGTTTTCGGTGGACACAACATGTTTTATTTTTATGTGGTGCTAAGGATCGAACCCAGCGCCCCGCGCATGCCAGGCCAGTGCTCTTCCCACTTGAGCCACATCCCAGCCCCATTTGCAAATTTTTAAAGCCACATGAAATATCCTCAAGTTTCTCTATTCACAAGTAAACAGAGAGGTACAGCAGGTAATTTTTTATTGTTGTTTTCAATTGAAATATTTGGATTCAGCATCTTTGTCTCACTTAATGCAGCATCTTTATCTCCTTTAACTTATCGATGTTAGTGTGAAGCAGGTGAATGAATAGTGGGGCAGGGAAACAAAGGGAGGAGGGCCCCTCCCCCCCCATGGCCCCCTCCCCCCCAGTCCAAGCTGAGGACCGTCTTGAGCCTCCTAAGGGAGGGGAATGAAGTTCCCCTTGGTGCTTCCTGGGCAGCTGCCCTCCACAGGTGGCTGATAAGCTGCTCACAACACCTGCAGAAGGAGTGTTGCCCGCGAGAAGCTGCAGAGCCTCATGCAGATGTAATTGGGGTATTCTAGTCTTTTTGGAGTGGTTACTGGTTGTCCCGCCTTTCCTGAACAGTGACTTTGTTTTGGCATATGCCTAGAGATGCTGATTATATGATGAAAGTCTCCTGGAGAAAGGGTTCACACATTTCACAATTTATTTGGGCAAGAACCTTAAAGTAAATCCATGTGGTAGTGTCCCTCTGGTGAATAGTAAGGTGCTGAGAGAGTTTCCATACTGAGGAGGGACTCCAGGGAATGGCGAATTTCCAGAGTTAAATCCTTAGGTGTCCCTTCTGATAGGGAGAACTTGATGTGGGCAATGCCGTTTTTGGAATATATCCTCCATCTTGGAACAATAGTCATCTCACAGGTACTCTGACCCACAACCACGGTCAGCCTGACCTAAATAAACCCCAGACAGTGGAATTGTTATTGGGTACTAAAATGTTGAGAAATACCTTGTTTGATATGCAAACAGTGACATCACAAATAATGATGTGACAATCACAAGAACCCTTTCCTGACAACTCCCTAGCAACGGCTATGAGTCAGAAGGCAGGCTTCAGTCTCATTGGGACCCCTCCACACACAGTTTTTGATATTGGTGGTTGCTGGTGAGTGCTGCTCCCTCACATGTTGAAGTTTAACATTAGAGAAGAAAATATATAAAGCAGGGTTTATTTAGAAAGGGGTAAGTAACACGGACTTTTCCCAGGAGGGAGAGGGGGCCATAGCTGGTATCTGGTATTCCAACAAGTGAGGGGTGTTTTGCCTTTTTATTGTCCTAGGCTTCCTCTATTCTCTCTTCCCCTTATTTTTCTCCTTCCTGTATACCTCAGGAGATGCTCAGTGGGATGGCTGAAAGGTGAGAAGCCTGAGGACAGGGGAAGGGCTGAGGGCAGGATGGAGCAGCATGGAACACATTAATTAACAACTTTCTCCCTGTAGGGAGAGGCAATTCCTGGAACAGGTTACCTTAGCAACAGGTTGGAGCTGGGGCAGTTTATCTTGATAGGGTGGAGGAAGAACTCTGAAGGCATTTCGATCCCTTAAGGGCAAGTCTCCAACTTCCCAGACTCAAATTGTCCTCCTTGATCTGACCTGACTTGATTTACCTATCTATACCTGCTGCCTGTCTAATTCTGGCTTCAGTTTTGTCCCAAATAAACCTGTTACTGTTGAGCCCCCCTCTCATGTCAGAACCGGCTGACAATCTGTAGTTCCTGTTACAGCAGAGATGCTGAAAGACATACACACAAACACACACACACACACACACACAGTGGAAATGAGCACCTCTTTATTTTTTCCCTTCTTTTATACAGCAAAAAAGAAACACATCCTCTGGGCAGTTTAATCTTTTCAAGCATGGAGAAACATTCTCAGAATAACTTTGTTCATGGTCACAGTGCTTGTACTTCTTATTATCTGACTTGTAGTTAGTTATTTCCTGGCAAGCACACACACACACATATATATATATATCTCATTATAGATTTTACACTTGGCAGAACATTGTTTTCTCTTATCTTCTTAAGATAGCAACAAGGACACAGTTCAAAGAATTCATAGTTCTCACAGAACCCCTTTGTTTTGCTAAGCACAGCAAAACTTAACACTTTGTGTGCCTGAGCACACATCCTCGCTCCCGCTTTGCTTCCTCTGGTTCTTCCCCTACACTTTCCTCTTCACCAGGGAGCCATCCAGCAGGAAGCCTGGCCTGCCCCAGGCACCTCTCCTTTCCTGCGTTCCTGCTGTGTCTCCAGGGGACACTTGGGTCTGGAATTCCTGATTGTGATTGTAAGATCAGGCCAGGCGGGCAGCAACCAAAGGAGGCAGATTTTAAAAGGCCCCTGATGGAGGTTTTGTTGAGATATCACTCCCAGGCCACAGAGTGGACAGGAGAGGGGTCTGAGGAGACACCGCGTGGAAGCTCCACCTGACTGGACTTTTATGGGGCTTACAGCAGGAAGGGAAGGGCTTGGGACAGGAAAAGGTGTTTTTGGAGTCCCTTGTCCTGCTGGAGTTGGTGGAGAGGGGGAGCTTGGCTGAACTCCAGGATTGGCCAGGGGGTCCTGATGATTGACAGGCCTTAGTCAGGAGATCCTGCTGATTGATAGGCCTTTCTGTTGGCGCCTGATTGATGTTTCTTTTCCACTAGGGCTGCCACCGACCTAACAGTGATCTGAAAGGAAACTGGACTCAGGACTGATCCCTTGGACACACCAAGGCCAAGCAGAAGCAAGTTTATTGTCAGGAATCTGACGGGCTGCCTCTGCGAAGAGAGAAAGCAGCAGATTTCCTTGGAGTCAACTTTAAGTCAGAATCTAGGTTATGCATGGGGGGCGTTTAGCCTTTGCGATTGCAGGTGGAGAGTAAGCTTCAAAACCTCAAGAACTGTTGTGGTGTAAAGTAATCAATAAAATCAGTAAGAGTGTAAGTTAGAGGTTATAGATTAGTAAAAAAAAAATATGGATCACAGATATAAGATTTTGATAAGTGAGATGAGATTAGACAGTTATAAAGCAACAACTGTCACAGAGGGGCTAAGACTCCATTTTGCTGCCTTCTATAGAAACTGTTACAAGAGCTGTTTCTGAGAAACTGAAATGAAAGCTGTTTTGCTGTACTTTGTACCCCACAGAATGCAATCAACTCAGGATATAGTGGTGGTCCTGGTGAGCTACACCGTGGGTTTGAGTACATTTATGGGTCTACACTGACTTTAAAATAGATTATCACCCGAGCTCAGCTAAAACTCAGGATACAGTTGTCTAACACTTGTTGGGACTGGAGATGCGATTAAGCTAAATGCCTTTTTTTTTTTAAGCTTCTGTAACTTGCTTGCTTGCATGATGCTGAGAAAAGCCCCTGGACTGTGTTTTGTTTTTTTCATCCTTAAATTCCCAAGACACAAGCCACGAAATTACTGTTCTCCCACAGAGCATCAGTGGGAGACAGTCCCTGGCCAGGTAAATAAAGCTCTCTTTTGTTTGAATTAGGTTCCGAGGCAACTCTCCCTAACAGGACCACCAAGGGGAGGGGGCAGGAGGAGCAAACATATTGCCACCAAGTTGTCAGAACTGGCAGCCCCTGTACGTACTCAGAAAGTAGGTTAAGGTCTGCGAGCATTATGATTAGGGTGCAGGTGGGTGGGGGTGCCAGCTTCTATGTAAGTGGGCTCTTGCAGGAAGTGGGGGAGCAGGGTGAGGCTCTGGGCAGAATGGGATTCTTTGATTTGGCTTCTAAATTAACCCATAGTTATTTTGGGGAGTCACCCACTCCAAAGACTAACTTCCCCATCCCCTCCCAGAAGAGACCTCCAATGGTGAGCCCTGCTGACTCACATGATCCTAACTCACCAATCAGAAAGCACCCTGTGCCAACTGTCAAACCGGTTAACCGTTAAACTGTCATAACTGTCAAACCACCCCTGGCTCTATAAATATGCAGAGCTGTTCCTCAATAAAAGGGCATTTTTCTCCCACACAAGCCTTGTTGGTTCTTTCAGTTATGCTAACAGGCTTAGCAGTCCCCTTTAACAGGAGGAATAAACAGGTGACCTCTAGGAGGAAGTCCTCAAATGCAAACGTCCCCCAGGGGAGGGAATCTGGGCTGTAAAGTGCTTCGGCTGGAATCCTGCCATTATTGAGACAGATAGGTGATCCCTTCTGTCACTCAGGCTCCAGGGGGGCGGGCCCTGTACCATAGCCAATGAGACGCTGCTTCAGGCTGCTGGGAGAGTTCAAGGAGCAGCGCCAGTGTGAGGCTGCTAAAGCTCAGAAGCGGTGCAAAAACGTGGTGCTGTCTGGCGCTGCCACCTGCGGGATCCCTGCTCATTGCTGAGCCCCTGGTGGTTCACCTCCCATTGCTCCTTGACCTCCATTTCCGACGGAAGCCACAGGGAAGACACCTGGACACCGCACGAGTCAGGAGATGGTGAGAGTGCTGGCCAGATTGAGATGGTCAGTCACCTGGGGTGGGGTGTGGGACAAAGGGCTGAGGCCAGTGAGCCCAAGCTCAGGACCACCTTGAGGGTGCTAAGGGAGGAAAATGCAATTCCACGTGAATTCGACTGTGGCGGGACCCAGCCTCCGGGTGGCAGCCGTGGGGCTGCAGCCGGAGTCCTCCGCCGGAGCCGCTGGGCCCCCGCCCGCCGGGTGCTGCGGGGCGGGCAGGCGGGTCGCGGCGCTGGGTCGCGTTGCCTGTTCCTGCAGCCGTCCCCGAGCCTCCTCTGGGCTGCTCCGCCCGTGTCTCCCCAGGCTGGGCGCCGGCGGGAGGGTCCGTGGGACCGCGACTCTGCGGAGCTTGGACCTGGGGGGACCCAGCCCGCCTTTCTCTTTAGTGGTGGTTGGTTTTCCTTTGATCTTACAGGTTCCAGGTAAGCTTCGTCCAAACTCTACGACCAGCCCCCAGCCCAGGGCGCCTGCCTTTCCTACTTTGCCAAACTGTTTGCGAAGGGGATGGGCGTGGGGACGTTCCCCATCCCGTGAGCCTTCCTAACATGACTGTTACTGTCCTCTGATTTTTTTTTTTTTCCTACTCCTCCTTTTAAACAAAGGAAACGCTGTTTGAGGTGGGACTTGACTTTATTTGGAAGGCGTATGGCCGTAGGGTGTTGTGGGGCAGGTCGCTCAGAAAACACACCAAGTCCCAGTTTTGTCCAAATTTGAAGAGTCTTGTAGCCATTAGGCTGGTGACTGCTCCAGGCACAGTCACCGGCCTGAGCATTTTAGGATATTTAAAGGCAAAAACTGCAAAACCCACATCGGGGTTGACATAGCTGTAAGCAAGCAGGTACAGAAGCTGAACTGGGCAGTTAGCGAGACAATGCAGTGGGTGCATTGGTATTTCCCATGGGACTTTCCAGGTTGGCATAGCAGAAAGCAAGAAGAAGGGAAGTGGGTCAAAATGACCCTAGTTGGGTACAAGTTAGAGAATGGTTGCTAACGTCTAGACAGTCATTGCCCAAGAAACATGGGACCCAAAGAGAGAACAATTTTGCATTGTATAAGAATTGCCATTTTGTGTTGCCATGTATGCTATGCTAGGTAACTGTTAGTGGGTATAGAGGCAGGACTTTCCCGTGGGAGAAGCATTTCTTACATGATATGGAGTCTCAGGGTAAAATGGAGTCTGTTTGGTCATTGCCCATATAGCCTGGTCCATAACAAGGGGAAGCCCCAACCCCTGGACCTGCAGGGATCTCCATGATCAGACAAAGAACTTTAAACCAAAATAAAGAGGGCTGATCAGCTGCCTCACCCAAAAGCCAGTCTGGCATAAGAGCAGGGTTTTTATTATAGCACAATTAGTTACAAAGGCGGGTGTCTTGGGAACTTAGAGCTAACAGGGTTCTGGCAAGCACAATGCAAGGGCAGATAGCAGATTAATGATCTACACTCCTTAACATTTCAAGGTAGGGAGTAAATTCAGATTCCAACATCAGAATTAATGAGGAGCCACTGAGTTTTCAGGGAGGGTTGTTATTTGGTTGGGGAGAGCCTGGCAAGGGTGAGTTCAAAGCATGGGCAGGAATTCCAAACTAGTTTAAACATCAAAATATGGTCAGGCCAAATAGAAATCTTATATTTTACAGTAAAACAGAAATGAACTTTTTCATGACCTTGTGAGATGGCTCCCTGTGAGCTGCAAGACAGGCTGAATAAATGTTAGCTGCAGAGTGGGCTGAACACTGCACCCCCACCCATCTGGTTCCTTATCGCTTGTTTGCCTCAAGGCTGAACACTGAATCCCACTCAAGGTTGAACACTCAACCCCCACTTGTCTGGTGCAAGGAAACCCATAACTGGCCCCTGCCTGATCTGTCTGAAGGCAGAAGATGACACCCTTGGCAAGTACTGTGTGACCCAATCCCTGTATGCCAACAGAGCAGCTTGCAGACCCAGAGACACTGTTAGATTTAAACACACAGCAAAAGGGATGTAAGACCTCCTTTCTCTTGCTTTGCTGTCTCCCTCTCTCTCGTCTCTCCTTCCCTGCTCTCTCTCTTTCTCCTTTTCTCATTGATCAGACACCACCGAAATAAAGATCTCTTGCTCAGAGTGTCATGGTCACTTTCCTTTCACTCCCAATCTTAAAATGGAATTAGGCTGGGTTCTTCAAGAATTTCTGTTTTTGTAGGGAGGAGCAAACAGGAGTAGAAACAGGGTGGGACAGGAATGGAGCAGGGGGTGGTAACCTTAGACCCTAGACTAACTCTATCCAGTTTCCCTCTGAAGTCACCCTGCTTTTAGAGTGACCTTGCTCAGGCTGAGGGTGGGTCAAAGATCACAGACCAAGAGGAAAGACAGTTCAGAAAAAGCTTGCTTAATAAGTGTTAGATTTAGTTAAATGGTGCCCCGTTTGTGGGGTGTGAAAGATTTTACAGAGTCTAAGTGCAAAGCAAAGTTTTATTCAATTTCCCAGGGAGAAAAGGGTCAGATACCATAGGCAGCATAATCGCAAAATGAGCAATGCAGACTCCATAGGTTCTGCGAAGCTGTGTGTTTATTCCCAGACTCAATCACTCAGGCACCCAAGGGGCTCACTTTCTGGTTAGAATTGAATTTTATCGGGTACAATGAGGATGGTTTAATCGTTGGAAACTGCTGACATGCCGATGGGACAGTCAGGGAACTAGTTGTGCAGGTTAAAAGTTTAACTCAGCAAGGCAGGTGTAAAAAAGTTGACGAGTCCTTGCTTCCCCGATGTTGAAGAATAACACCAAAGAAGCACGCCGAGGCAAGGTCAGAGTAGAAATTAGAAGTTTATTAAAGGACAGCAGAAAAGACTTCTCCCGGAGGAAGAAGGGGACCCAAGAGGTGGAATCCGTGGAAGGGATGTTGTCTCCCCTTTTTATAGTTCTTTCAGTGATGGAATGTAGGTGGGAAGGCCCGAGGGGTGGGACACAGGTGGGCCAAAGAAGTAATCTGGTCAGGAAGGACTTCTGAGTCAGCACCTTTTTGCTGGGGGCTGTTCATTAACATTTCTTTGAGGTGGACTTTGGCCTAGGGCCTTCTCGGGACTTCATTAACATTCCATGAGTTGTCCTGTGTTTTCCCTGAGTCATTCTCCGCATGGTCTCCATTTTAGATTTCACTCGATATTAGACCGATTTATCTAACTACACTGACTACCTAACTTTAAATCTGGCTTCAGGAGGAGATAGGAGCTCTGATCCCTACTGATGAAAACTCAAATCCCAAATCCCACCCATTGCTTTTCTTCTTCCTCTGGGATTCATTGTTGCCCAGATGTTTGTTCTTTACTGTGGGGGAAGACCAAAATTTAGGGCCCATCATTCAGAGTCTGTCTCATTCCCTCAGGGCGCATTGTTCCTGGAGAAGGATTTACTGGGAGAGGCTTAGTGTTGGGCTAATTTCCCTCCTTCCTCTGGAGCCCCACCTGTCTTTTTTTTTGGGGGGGGGGGCTGTCCCAGGAATATTAGTTTCCATAAGGCTTCAGGCTGTGGTTTATAGCCAGGATCAAAGAGCGAAGCCTTCAGTATTGATTGCTTGCCTGGGCCCAGAAGTTGGCACCTCAGGTCTACCTGGGGACTTTTTAAGTTTTGTCTAGCAGGTTATGGGTGGGTTTGTGGCTTTTCTCTGGATGGCTTGCGTAGATGGTAGATAACTCTTTGACTTAGAAGGGAACATTAAGAGTGGGGTAGGGAACATTAAGGGTGGGGTAGGGAACACTAAGGGTGGGGTATCTCCTAGGGTAAGATCAGAAAATGGAATCACTTATGTCAAGAGCATAAATTTGAGATTAAAATAAATTTTCCCCCTGCCCCCTTCTCCCGAGATTACAATAAATATTTTGTTTTAGCTAATCATTTGGGAAGTGTGTGTCTGGTTTTAATAGTTTAAAAGGAAGGAGAATCATCTAACTAATGGGAAGAGTTTTGTGCTAGATCAAAAGTCTTGAGAGGTGAGAGTTCCTTAATCATCACTATTTATCAGGATTAAGCTCTTGGGTCAACTCAGCAGCTATAGCTTGTTGTAGGGTCAAACGAGGCAAGGCACCAAAGACAGCAGGAAACAGTTTTATTTGGCTGCAGCCAGGTTCAGAGGGTACAGCCTTTGCTGTAATCTGAAAGAAAAGTGACCACAACACTCGGAGCAACCTAAAGATCTTTATTGCAGCAGTGCAACAAAGAGAAAAGAAAGAAGGAGAGAGAGAGAGAGAGAGAGAGAGAGAGAGAGAGAGAGAGAGAAGAGGAGAGAGAGAGAGAGAGAGAGAAGAGGAGAGATGAAGAGGGAGAGAGCAAGAACAAGAGAGAGACAGAGAGCGCACACAAGAAAGACAAAGAGAGCAAGAGAGAGAGCAACAAGAGAGAGGGGGGCCTGGCAGGAGGGAGTTTTTATAGCCCAAATCTAATGGGGCCTCTGGGTCTGCAAGCTGCCTTGTTGGCCCAAGCGGGGGGGGGTTAAGTGTTCAGCCTTGAGCGGGGTTAAATGTTCAGATTTGAGGCAAACAGGTGATAAAGGACCAGATAGAGGGGGGTTTGAGTGCGTGGGCTATCTTGCAGCCAACATCTGTTCAGCCTGCCCTGCAGACAACACAGTTCAGCCTGCTCTGCACCCAACATAATCAATCAATCCCCTGAATCCTGAGTTCAGGGAGTTTCAGTGTTTTATACCTAGCATATAAGGGGAGGGGCTCAGAAGTTCACAGTCTGCAGAAGTTCACATAAAAGCAGCTTTTTCTTTCACTGTTCTGTGCAAGTTAACTCTTCAAGGACAACACCTGAGAAGGGGAGAGCCTCTTCTCCCCTTTCTTTCCTCCCCCTGCCAGCTGTTACCAGGGAGCCCTTTTGTAGCTTATCTTAGAAATGTAGACATCTCTGTGAATCCCAGCTCAAGGCCAGAGGCCTTGTTTGCACATTTCTACAAAGTACTGTACTGGATACGTTTGTGAAAAACTAGTAAGGGGGT